TTGATGTGCGCAAAAGTTGTAATAAATTTAGTTATTAAGTAAACAATGAGGAAAATGTGCATTTTTCCGCCCTCAAAACCCACGTAACCCCTTAATTACTGCTTCACCTAGATAACATACCTCTCTTTTATGTTATGTTCAGATAAAAACATTTTCAACAAGTCATGTTGTTATTTCAGTGGTCTTATTCACTTTTTTACTGAAGCAACTGTTAATAACTGCTAATGTTATTAAATAAATGTATTTAATGTCTAGCCAACTTATTATAATCTGAGGATTTTGTATAAGAAAACTTTAAAAAAAAATTAACTTTTGTAGAAAAAGATAATTTATAATTCGATATAAAAAATTGAAATAAGCGAAAAACTCTACATATGGTATGGCCATACAAAAACATGACTAAATTATATGCACATTTATACTTGTTATGTACCAATACTGAACAGGTGGTAGTTGCGTGTTTGAAGTAAAAAAGATAATTAAATACGGATGTGGTATATAAAAACACAGAAATGGAAATCAAAAACTAAACTTAAATTTGAAAGCATTTCTGATTGTTAGTTGCTTTACTTACTTTATAAATTAAATCTTTATACAAAAATACTTGCTCAAGAATTAGAAATTTTATCCAATCAAAAACCACCTGCCTTATGCAAAGCGAAAGTAGATATATATATAGAAATACATGTGTACATATGAGCACAATTGAAAATATGATTTAAATATAATATGTATGAGAGTAAATGAGGAAGTTCGTCTATTGCCTTTAGATCTTGCTAACCAATATAGAGTTTAGTTTAATTACGACATTCAATATAGAATTGGTAAGAGTTATGAAGTGCACTTAGAAATATGTGTGCACACAAGGTCTTTTGGTCACTAGTATATTATCTTTAAGCATTTTTTTCCGTACTTACACTTTATCAGCCAATTCGCGTACCTTCCACATGCTTATGAATTTATCAACCATTTTGCTGCAGTTCAAATATTTTCACTATCTTTACACAATATCGAGTTCGTGTTCACACAACTGCAAATTCCAAACCTTGACTATGCGCACCCGTTCAAGTTTCTCTTTTCCTAAAGTGTTTATCAAATTTTACTTTATACACTGCAAAATTGATGTTCATGAACTGTACAAAGTTGCACGAAATTAAGGGAAAAATTTAAAACTAAATGAAATCCGTGGAATTTAAGAAATTAATTTGTGGCAAAATTTGTTGAAAAGAACACAAAAAGTTTTGGTGATTTGTCACCAGAGTTTACGGATTTCAATAAATTAGAAAAGTGTTGTACTTTTGCATAAAGTTTGGGGATGTGTTGAAAAAGTATGTTTTACTAAAATTTTTGATTGGAGGAAAAACTATTAATTTATTAATTACTTCTAAGATTATAAAAATTAGTATAATTTGAATACAGACTATTGTTTTGACAGGAAAGTACGTACGTTTTTAATGATTACGTTTACAATAAAAAATTTGTAGCGAAGCTAAGCAACATGGTAGGTAACTCTTATCCTTTTGTGCTTTGCCAAGAAACAGTCACAATTTCTATTAGAGAGAAAAAATGAAAGCCAAGCCTTAATAGTGGCATATCAATTGTTTTCCGAGCTTCATTGCTCAGTATCAACTATGAAGAAAACGGAGGAAAGTTGTATGTGAACAGGGCTTTATATTCCCGAACAAAGGTATCGATATTATTACTATTATGTTCTGTCTACATCGCTCCTCTAACGCCATACCTCCACAGACAATGTATATTGCTAATTTTTTTTGGTCATTTGATATCACTAAGTAATCATTATCGAAGTGGTGTCGGATACGTAGATTTTAGGACTTAACTAATTGTTGCATAATGTTTATCAATTCAATAATAACTGGGCATGTACATGGTGCCTCTTCAAACTTTATGTGGAAATAAAACCAGCTCACCATCTGTCAAAAATCGAAAATTTTCCCCAACATAATCCGATCGAACGCACATGCATGTAGTATATGGCTACTTTCACCCTTTAGCATAAGTATTTGCGAGTCATTTAGTTACAGCTTTATTGGGCTGTATATACACTCAACTCGGCTATAATCGCATAAGCGTTGTCTACACTGATAAAGAAGAACAAATAATATACAAAACACCGAAAACTAAATTATTATATATATTCACATTGATATTATTTTGGAAAATAAATGAAATGAATGAAAATGAATAAATGAGTTTTGTATTTTTAGATAACGCAAAGTCAACAAGGACTTCTTAACAAAGATTTGTTCGGTACAATTAATTCGTACATTTACGATTTATCGTTTGGCAATCAAAATAGAGATACATGCTTCCATTCCTAGGAACATTTTTTACTTTTGACGTTTGTCTTGCGGTGTTCGTTGATTTTCATACACATTTTGGAAAATGTAAATTTTGTAAAATAAAAGTATAATGTCAACGATTTAATATTCGAATATTCATTTAAGTATACATTTATAATTTTAAAAAATTGCAACACTCATTCATTTTTTGTAAAATTTAATATTTTTCATATTGCAATTGAATATCAGTATTCAAAAGGTTATATAAAAGATTTGATCTATATACAGCAGGTTCTATCGGGTAAATACACCACAATTATCAATAAGAAGTGTGAACAATGTTGGTGTTAAAACGCTTTACCGGCGGTGTTTCCGCCCAGCTTTTTCGGCGTATACAATATGCAACATATAGTACATCTGTAAGGAGTGCTGGCTTGACTGCAACACAAAAACCTGGTGATATTTCCACCCAAGATCCAGTGGAAAGGGAGACGAGTACGTCCGGTGATGACCACACGGACGTGAATGCAAAAAAATCAAAAAGTATATTAATTGAATAAGCAGTAAAAAAATATAAAATAAATATACCGATTTTGACAGGTTCTTTGGTTGCTGCAGCGTTTGAGTCTCTTAAAGAAGATAGCTACACTAAGGAAAAATCGAAAACTACTGACAGTAAAGGGAGGAACAGCCTTGACGAGCGCATCCATAACGCGAAAACTGTAAACGGCCTTTTATCTGTATCGGAATTAAGTGGACCTCTCTCGCGTAAACAAGCTCTGAAAATCGTCTCGAAGCTATCTGAATGGAGCTCTATAAATCGTGCTAAGATTGCGGAATTTGAAAATGATGCTCGCTTTTTGCGTGTCTGTCGCGTGCTAGGGCGCACCATGGGTAAAGACGGCTCCGGAAACGAAAACAACGGTCCCAAACGTATATCTGGGTTTCGAACGGATGACCTTAATACTGTTTTGGGCGTTGCTGGTGATGACGAGGCTGCCAAACTAATTGCCAGCATAAGTTTACCACAAATGGTGAAGGTAATGAGCACGTTGGCTCAACGCAAACGGCGAAGTACGCCTCTATTGCGATCCCTTGCCTTCAATATAAGTAGCACAACTGAGCAACTAGATCTTAAACAGTCTGCTGATGTGTTGTATGCTATGGCTACCCTAAACTTTCAAGATTCAGTGCTAGCGGCGAAAATTTGCTCCGATATACAGACTGCGTTGCCAAAAAATACCGAAAAATCAGCAGTTGTTGGATCCATTTTAACGAGCTTAGGAATATTAAAGTATCGCGATTTAGGTAGGAATCCATATATCCAAACTAAAATCACAAATTTCAACTGAAAAATATATTTGTAGACATTATGGAGGCTTTAACACAATGGACACTGAAAAATTCCGAAATTTGTCGGCCGCAAGATATAAGTGCCTTGTTCATTACATCGGCAATATTAAATTTCAAAAGTTCCTTTATTGATGATGTTAGTAAAAAGTTAACTACATCTATTGTAGGTGCTGATTTTCAGAAATGCAATGATTGGCTGAATCACGTGTGGTCACTTGCAATGTTAGGACTTGTAAGCCACGAACAGCTGACCTCTGTTTTGAGGTGAGTATCCCTTTGCTTAAGCTCCTAAATTTATACTATATATTAAACTTCTAACATCTCTATATCATTTCATAGTGAAAACTTCGTTGAGAAACTGGAAGCGGATCGAAATGTTCTCTCACCTACTTCTAAAATGAAGTTATTAAATTTGAATGCATATGCGCAGCATTTGGCAAGCGACTACAAAGGAACACTTCTGCCAGAAGATAGTGCAGTTTTCCGAGTGCCACTTGCGCATTCAAAATCTAAACAAATTTTAATTAACGGGATGTTGGATGCATTGAAGAGTTTGCTGCCTGCCAGCAATCATCTGAAAAGTTTGCACGACAGCAAAATGGGATTCTTAATTGGTTAGTTGTTGTTTTCGAATTGTACACAGATTACCATATTATCTTTTGCACACATAATCTTTCAGACGCACTTTGCTTATTCGACCATAAAAGGAATCCATTACCCGTAGATAAGGAGAACCCAAATGCAATAAAGTACGTATTCAACTTATTATTACGATTTTAAAATACAATTAACAAATAGGCATAACAGTAATTTTTTACCAATACTTATCTTCAAATATTTGACTTACTTAATTACGTACATATGTGCATAGATATTTTTAGTGGTGTTACATGTTCAGAACTTAAAATTTTTCTTTAAGGATTGCGTTGATGGTGGTCGATTTCCATGATGTCTGCCATGGAACTCATCGCTCAGCTAGCGGCATAACGAACCTAAGCTTTAATTTGTTGGAAAAAAGTGGATACAAAGTGGTACCCGTGCCCTACAACGAGTTCAACACCAGTGACAAGCTGCTGAAACGGGTGCAGTATTTGGAAGCGAAATTTAAAGCGATTATCAGTAGTAATGTTTAAGCTTTATACCTGTTAGCCTTATTTAACGCAATAAGAAAGATTATTGTTAATTTTGTCAAGGACTTGTTATTAATTAAAGAGTTAGACAATTTTTATTTGAGCGCTGTATCATTTCAATCTAAGTTTGTAATTTATTATGTAATAATATTTCATTGTTTAATTATTTATCTTACCCGATGAAGATAAGGCGACAAATTGTAATAGAGAATATGCTGCGTCGCCCGACCACGGGAATACAATTAAACATTCGTGAATGTTGGATAAATTAAAAACATTAGGAATGCTAATAAAAAACAAATTTGTCAACATACTCTTAAATTTGCGCAATAGTGATATTTTATTTACCCTTCTACATACTACATATGTATATTTAATCGCATTTTTTCTTTTCCTTGAATATCGGGTTGGCTGATTTGCTGGGAAAACCGGAGCGTGGATATTCGTTTGGTGGATAGACAGTGCGTTGCTTATTTAATCCAACATGAAACCATTGTCCGGTCTCAACGAATTCGGTGGCGATTTCAGTCATCTTGTGGAATGCAGCGCGAGCTAACATATGTCTATTGCCTACCTCCAACACCATTTTATGGTCGTACACTTTTGTCGGATCGTCAAGTCTATAATGGTTGCGTGCCTCTGTCTCAGTAAGGCAAATACAATTCCATGGTGACCAATCTTCACCTTTCAACCATCGTGGCAAACTATTAAGAAGGTAAATACGAATGCGCAAAGTTATAGAAAAGGCAAATGAAATGTTTGCGAATTGTAGCAATTTTTTTCGTTTTTTTGTTTAAATATTTCGTTCTTATTGTAGCACTCATAATTACCGCAAATTGCTCAATACCGCATTCTTGCTAAGTATTGAGTGACTGTGCCAGATTTGGTCAATTATGTAACGAATGTCGTCCATTTGAAGCACAAATGCGAATGACGCGTTGCAGCGGCGCTTGCGTTCATCTCGCTGTATAGCGCGTAATATTGCAGCGTACGTTTTGTTGTCCGTAGAAGCGATCTAAAAAAAGGCAAGAAGACGAACGGAAGTTATTTCGTTTGTTTTAAGCACTTCTTCTCAATGCCACAGGCACTTTAAAACTACATGCAGACATATGTGTGTGTAGGTATATACATCGAATAGGTGTAGAGTGTGTGTAGTTCACAGTCCATGTGCTATAATGGGCGAGTGGAGGAGTGAAGACACCTCTGAACTAATGGAAAATATAATTTGAAAAAAAATGGAGGAATTTCCTTTACAAAAAGGTTCGACTTTTTGTTATTTTCATCATATTACAAATGTAAATTTGTTTGTTGCTAATCTACTCCTAATGTCACGCGGGTAACGCGTGTAAATTAATAAAGATGGATTTACCTTGATGTAATAGCAACGCTTGCAAGTGTCTACATTATTCTGACGCGTTCTAAGCGCGAAATGGCTGTAGGGCTTCACCTTCTTACACACCTCGCACATACGTTTTTCTCCATCTGAAATAGGAAAGCGATGCAGATTTCAAAAAAATTCATCAAATATGGGCATTGTGGCCTTAAAGTAAGAATCAAACAATTTTAAATTTGACATGTATGCAATAATAACTTGTTTATTTTTGTTTGGTTTTGATGCATAATTTTTGGTTTTTACTTTAAGCTTTCGAGGAAAGTGAACAATTCGTACGATCGGGAGGCTTATCCTTGGAGAATTTGATCATTTCCATCCATAGTAGATTCTGACGTTTACGTAAGATCTCGACGTCACAATATTTTGTGTGTATGAGCAAATTTATTTCCCTTTGAATTAGATCAAATATCTGAAATTCAGATTATTCGCCATAGTTACTATTATTTACAAAGGCGATTTTGTAAACGAACAAACCTCGACAAAATCCGGAAACTCACGTTCGTCCAATAATATGCGTTTCACTTTCGATAACAGCTCAAGGCGTTCCTCTCGGCTCGTCTTCTTTTGCATGTCCTTATAGACTTCGGTTAGGAAACGGACCCTTTGAGTGCGTAATAAGTCCAAGTGAATTATGTTATCTTAAAGGAATGACAAATATTCAAGTTTAATGCGTGGCTAAAAGCAATTCCCGTTCAAAATTTTAAATTTTACACATTTGTTCAAAAAATAAGATACAATTTAAAAATTTACAAACTTATTCTCTAAATTTTGGGTTCAATAAGGTCTTAACTTTAGCAGTCGTTAGTCTAGACTAATAAAAAAAAGTACCTACATATGTAATTATCTACAAAAGTAAAAACTATTTTTTTACTTAACTTTTACTTAACTTTTAACTATTACTTTCCTCTGCCACAATTTCTCAAATATACTGAAGAAAAAGGCAGACAAAAACTGTATATATAAACTTACCTTTATAGCCAACCCATTTGATTGGTTCACCCAATTTGGTGAGCATTTTCTCATTGCGAAAATCCTCCATTGCTTTCTTGACTATACAGCGTTGCTTTTCGATGCCATTTCGGAGCTGAATCTCCTTGTCGAGCAACACATTGACCTCGGCGATTCGTGCAGGTCCTTCATACAATCGCGCTATGCGTTTCAGCTCGGCGATCTTCCATTTCTGCACTTCGCCATACAACATCTCAAAGTCGTCCTTTGTTTGTGGAAATTGCTTCGCCAACTCAATACGTTTGATACGCTTCTCTGCTTCCACCTGCAGTCGCTCCTCTTCGGCTTTGCGGTTAGCCACCAGCCGACTACCACACGCAAAGTGTAACGAGCAGTAAAAAAAGAAATCGAACGAAACAATTTTATTTGCAGTCCACCGAAACGGTGCTCATTGTTTCTTCTAGCTTACCGATACTTTGCAGCCGCATTTCGCATGAAACGCACAATCAAGAACCGACGAAAATTTCGTTGTATCAATATGATTTTGGCCAGTTTATTCTCGCGGCGCATTTTTTGGGCATAAGTTTGGTATTTGCCGGGAGTTATAGTGTAATCTGTGGCTGCGGAAACATACAACACATTGTTGCCATCCTGAAAGCACTGCGTAGATTGCTCATGCGCAGTGTCCTGGAAAGTGAGCAAGAGCACTTCTTGTAAAATTCGGAATCGAAAAAATTATATTATTGTTATGTTCACACCATGTTGATGAAGGCAGACGTACACAACGCACCTTTACTCCTATTATTAGTTAATACTCACAATTTCCTTTCCTTTGAACTCATAAGTTTGTGTATCTCTGCTGATATAACGATTGAATTTCATTTTATCAAAGTAAGGTCCAGTTTGAGTGAATGCATCTAAATACTCAATACCTGGAGAGAGAGAGAGGTTAAATTCATATTCGCTAAAAAATCGTAAATAGAACTTACCGGTTGCCTTATCCCGGTAACCACACAAAAATGGTTTTACAATAGCTTTATTTAATATTTCCACAATAACCGTTCTAAATCCGTTCTCATCTTCAATGTTAACAGTTATAAAATCGGGCATGTGATATTTGCTGTAGCAGTAAAAGTTTTATCATTCTCTACTACACTTTTTCCCGTTGACACATACTCACTTATAATATATATTCAGATCTAACTTTGGTGGATCCATACTATCGCCAAGATTCATTTCTGAAATATGCAGCAAATCTAAATCGAATTCAAATATTCCAAATTGGTTCGAATCCGTTTGTGCCAACAAACAACGATTTGATATTTCCCGTTCATTTTGCGTAAGTCTTATATACTTTGGATCAACTTCAAACTTGCTACCGATATCAGTTTTAATATCGCCAATGCTCGATCGATTCGAATATACTTGAGCCACAATGCGGGAGCCATTTACGCGAAATTTAACGGTTACATTTTCCACTGGCAATACTTCATCGATGAACTCTGATGGAATCTCTTTGATCTCTTCCGCACAATTATCCTTCTTATTGGTCTCTGGTTTTTCAATGAGTAATGGATCTCCACGCGAGGGCGGAGGCGGTATAAATTGCATATATTTCATATTCATATTCATATTCCCTTCACAATTCATTTTGATAATTGCACAATAGTTAGAACATTAGCAAAATAATAATTACGTACACATATTTGAATGTGTAAAAAGTTTTTAAGAATTTGTGACACTCTAGTAGAACATTGCTTTAATCCAAATCACTTTTGTAAGTATTCCAAAGCTCATTAAACTTTGGAGTAAAGTTGGTTCAATAACTGCATAGGAGATTCTCGAACAAATTCTTAAATAACAACCGTTGCTATATACATACATACACTCTCATGTATAACCGAAACACATTCAAGCAAAAAGTCAATATTACTCGTAACATATTTTAGTAGCGCCACTTACCGGTTTCTATGCAATAATATCGTATTTACACCACTAATATGGAATACATTATTTCATCCACACATGTGTTATCGGAATCACTAGCATTTTTTGCTTAATGTTGTTTCCCTTGTGTTAAAATCGTTCTAGTTCGTCCATTTATCTCCCATAGTGAACTCTGCAGGTGCAATGCCTCGAGCAAATCCATCCATCACTAGCTTGATGGATGATCATTAGAAGATCAAATAGGAGAAGAAACTATTCGAAAATTGCATTTAAAAGGAAATGCTGCAACCGAATATGTTTGATGTATTATTTATCGCCCTAATCACTCAAGCTATATCACCCGGATTTGCACAATTAATAAATGCTAGAAATCAAGGTGAAATCACATGTCTTCGGACTTACTTCTCCAATTTCAACTTAGTTCGATATGTAATATAGGAATGGAAAGATTGCAACATTATCTTTGCATTTCTATATTATAGTGCGAATGGGCGAACCACAACAACGTCTACTATCCATGCAGCACAACTTTAAATTCTATCTAATTCCTTCACTGTTCAGTATACAAATCAAGAACCAATCAATATATCGGTATAAAACTCTTCATAAGTAGTGCCCTTAAGGTTTTTAATCGCATGCCCAAAAATTGTCTAATCGGCCTATAACTTTTTAAGGACCCATATGTCAAATAACGGAACCCAGTGTATTTCACCGTGTACCTAAAATATCGGCCAATGTGTGCGATATATAAATGAAATTCGAAGTCCTTTACTTTGCCAGCACATCTAATAGGAAGATTTTCGACCTTTCGGCTGACTTTACCCCAAATACGTATGTATTTCAGCCAATATGTTATATGAGTTATCTTAATAAAATTGAGTGAGCGCGAGGAAAATTTTTCTTAAGGGGGTATTCTACTCAAGAATTTCGAAAAATTCGATTTTTTTTCATATATTTAAAGTTTAGACCCTTAAGAACATATCCTCCAAAGGATTTTTAAACATTAAAATTATTTTAAGAGCTACAGTTACTGTAGTGACGCAGTACCTAGCCCGGTAGGTAGGTAGACTCACTTTTTTAACGCGTTTTTCTCGAAACTACTTTTTTTCACACGGTACCGGCATTATGTCAAGTTCTATACAACCGATTTACTTGAAATTTTGTGTGAACATTCTTTATATAATCCTTTATCCTTTACCTTTATATAATCCTTAATACTTTATTTTTAATATTTAAAAAAAGTTTCAGGAATTTCAAAAAAAAAAAAACGTAAACAATGATTTTTATTTTCAGGCAGTCGCAATTTAAAAAAAAATAAAAATTCGTGTTCCCTGAAATAGGGACTATAACAGCATCCTTACTGATTAAGAATTTCAGACCACCAGGAGAGTCAAGATCAATGTCACCAGGATGCGCAACTTTTTTTTACACTTGTCTCTACACCCCCTCTAATTATTTTAATTTTTAATATATTTTTTCTGTATTCTTAAGATATCAATAAAAACACGATAAAAAATGGATAGTAAAAATATTTTTGGTTTTTTTTTTTAATAAAATTCAAAAAACTGCCTAAAATTTGATTTCTAGAGTAGAATACTCCCTTAAAAGATATAAAATTTTATCATTGGCTTAGTGCTTACATAAAATGAATTTAGTTGGTCTAGACCTTGGTCTAAACCTCATATCCCTAATCATAATTTCGGCGAATAATATACACCTGAAGGTATTTCCTTGTAAGTTGCGAGAGTATATAGCAAAACACCCGAACTTAGCCCTACCCTACTTTTTAAATATATTTTTATTATTGCTACTACATTCCACACACACACCTTAAACTTAAAATTGAAAGCTAATCACAATTTCACAGTTACTTTTACGCTCATTAAATAAATCATTGATGAGCAAATCTAGTAAACCGCCTCTCGATTAACTGATAAATTGCTACTTATGCAACAGTATTTTTCAGCATTGATTAAGACATAACACTTGCTTACTGTTTCTCAGTCCATAATTGTATCTTTTGTTGTTGTACTTTAGCGTGTACCTAGGTATATTTTTGATTTGTTAAGAAAAGAAAACTCATCGGCGCTTGACTTTCACAAATTTTATGTGTAATTCAAAAGAAAAGGAAGCGAGTGGGTTGGTTAGGTCAGTTAGTAAATTTACTATATGAATGTTTGTATGGACTCGCAAGCTCGATGGATTTAAAAATGCTTAAGTGTAAACAAAGAAATTATGTGAAGAGAAAATTTTCTTCTCCGACATAAGAAACTAAAACAGATCTATTCGTCATATCTAATATATTTAATAAATAATATTTTTATTAAAGTATAGTTTTGATTTAAGATTAAGTGACGTTAGTTGATTCTTTGGTTGCGCATGCGCCACCTGCAGTCTAAATGGCCGCCCACTGAAGTAATAATTTCCGCGATCCATGAGATAGAGTTTACTGTCGGCGCCTATAAAGTCTAGCGGTCTATTTGCCAATATGTCAATTTCCTTTCTATTCGAAACTTTGTAGTTTGTGCTCCCATTATCTACTGGCCTATGCCAGTTATTTTTGGTATTCTGGTTCGTTGCGGTATGCTGATCTACGGTGGTGGCTACTTTTCCTGCATTCGACGAACTCGTATGCGCTGCTTCATTTAAAGGATTCATACCACTTGATGGCAACGCTTCTTCCTGTACTATAGGTTTAATTTTCATGGGCTGGTAATCGAAGCCTACTCCGGGAATATAGCGGTATGGCATTGGAGGTATTGGTATGTAATAAATTTTAGAATCCTTTTTTGTTTTTTTCACCTTGGAACCATTGCCGTATTTGCGCAGACTTAGTGGTTTCGACGATACAATCATTTCTTTGTAAATATTTGCCAATAACGGGCTGTGAAATAGAACTTTGGAGGCCATCGCTGAGGTGGGCTTTGAGAGCTTATCTGTATTGATTGTATACCCACCGGCGAGGGTGCTTGGCAGTGTGAAGAGCAGAGCATAGATTATGGCGGGCATCGCGATGATGACAGCATAGCGATTATTTGGTGTTAGTTGTTGATGTGTAGATAGCATGCTGAAATTAATAAAAATATGTAAAGATGTTTACCATGTTATATACTTGTAGCATCGCATGTGTTACACGGGAGAGGGTTTCTTTCACTAAATAAAGTATTATTATTTGGCAAAAAAGAAACTTTATTCGCTTTGCTTAAGAGATAAGCTGATATTATAAAAGAGAAAAGTACTTAAAAATCATTTCGGATTATGTGGAACATTTGAAGAATTGAATATAAAGAAATAATGAATTGTATGATTTTAATGTATAAAACCATAGCTTTAAAGTGAGGGCATTTTAAATCCAATTGTAGTATAATGTTTTGCAAAAAATTGTGGTAAAAGTGGCTATGGAAAGTGTCCAGTCCGATATTTTTTAGCCGATTCCATTCTCACTGCCCTTTGTAAGGTATATCCGCATGTACTATATGTACATATGTATTTACAATTACACTTATTAAAAGCTTAAATTATAAAAGCTCGTATCAAACTTAATTACTACCGGCTTTCACTTTTTGATCCTTCTCATTTAGCCATAATCTCCTAAACTCAGAACAACTGTTAGCTCTGTCGCATTTATAGTCCTGTAGTCTCTTATCTTATTTATGAATGTATGGGACAGCATTTTTAACACGATCATCTTAAAATAAAATGTGTGGAAATAATACATTCAAAAGGTATTTTCCCTTGGCAATATAGTTCATGCGAATTAGGTTTTTACAATTGTTACTTATTTAATTTATATGATGAACGGACAGATGCAGATCGTCAGAACCTGAACAAACCTTTTATATTGCTCTCCTTACTTGTATCATCATATCTTACATTCAATTTAACGCCATACATAGATCTTAGCTCTAGTTGGTTTTAAACGTTGTTGTTATTACATAATGTGTGCCGGGGTATAATAAAAATAATATATATGGACATACATATATTTATACATTTCGCCTGTCAGAGAACAATGCTGAATGATCACTCAAAGCAATTCACCGAATTTGGTAACGTTGATGAAGTGTCAACCAAGGTGTAGCCGCCGAAATTGTGCAGACCGTCGGCAGCAGAGTTGCTGATCATTCGTTGATTCGATCTGACCCATAGCCCACAAATGGTGGAAAAAAATAGACAAGGGTTTGAGCACACACATGCATACAAATATGTAATAATCCAATGAAATAATGATTTCCAAAAAGCACAACTTTCAATTATTTACTTGTGTTCACAAGTAAATACCCTCATTATACATATACATATGTAAGTTCATGAATGGGTGTATACGTTTCGTTTGTGAACTTACGAGTTTATTATAGAGAATGAAATGTTAATTGTGTGCGCAAATTTGGAGGAAATGCACGACAAAAGAAAATGAAAGAGATTTTATATTTTCATTCAAATACTTTTGCACTAAATCTCGTGATTACATAATTACACGTTTAAAAGAAGTAATATATTTTGAATGAGTTTAATTTGTTTAATTAATGCGCGCGTTGAGGCGTAGCGACATTTCGCCACGCAGAAATCACCACCAACCGGCATTTATTTTGCCCAGAGGCTAATCACTCGGCTAACAGTCAACGCTCGAACATCTTCTCATGTATTTGCTCAAATCAAAATAACAGTAATGTCAGCTTGCATGCTCCCCACCCATTTAATGGCTAAACAAACTGTCGGAGCTTCTCACTCGGATCTCCAGTGATCTAAGGCCATCAGTATTGGTATCAGTGTAGGTATCGAATTTCATCGCTTACGGCTGTACTCATATTTTGTGATTAATGAACAGCACCTGAACGATTGATCACAAACTGCTTTATTTGGCTACCATATTCGCTGCTAAAATACATGTACATATCTACAAACTATATGTACCTATGTTATTTATGTATATGCGTATTTGTTCTTTTATTTTTAGTGGTGGTTATAATATTAACCTGCTTTTTTTAATTAAATGTTATTTTGGTTAAAAAAAAAATCGTGTTTGCCGGTTCGGCCTCTTTGGACCATGGACTACACACCTGACTCTGTGTGGAGTCTTCACTTAAATTTATTCAAATCAAATCGTTCACCTTGTCGCAATTCGTGCTCTGCTTTCACATGCATGTGTTTCAAATGATATTTACACGTGTGGATAACTGTTTTTGAGAGTTGGTTGTATGCAATATTCTAATAGTGTGATGCAAGTTTGTCAAGTGTCTAATAAAATAATTACATAGGGGGGAATACCCGACCTTATTTCACTTTTGAACCCATTATATATGTAAACCAGAAAAAGACTAAAATATTTTCAAAACACAATTATTTGATTAACCTAACTGCCTACATCTGTACTTAGAGTAAATGGGGTAGCTGTAGAAAACAAAAGACTTAAGAGACAAACTTGGATGTACAAATATACATACATATTTTGAAAGCTGATATCATTTTACAGCAACTTGGTCAATTAGAGCCAGTTTTTATTTGCTCAGTCCACATTAAATTTTTCAATATCATTATATAAAATTTTGATAAGGAATGAAGGCGTGAAAGCTCTTCTTATAATTTGACATAAAAACTATTAGTTAAAAACCGATTTCTATAAAATCCACAAAAATATTGCTTAATGTTTTTCAATGAATTTCATGAATGATTCTTTAATTTAGATAGTGTTGAACTAGTTATTTGCGCTTCTCCGCGGTTCATTAGATCACACAAATTCTAAAATATTTTATTCGGCGACAGGCCAAAGTAAGCTCTAAATGTCTCGAGACATCTTTTTCGAAATATTCACATTTTATAAATCATCTATGCATAAATTTTTATTATTTTCACTTACTTTTTCATTATTTTTGAAGCAATCTCTTTTGTAACAATGTCTGAAGTTTAACTTTTATTTATTTTATTTTTATTCTTGTAAATCCGTGTAGAGGAATGGCGTCAATGATCGCGTCAATATCGATAAGAGTGCAACTACTCGGACTGATCAATTTAAATACTGTTTTTGGTTTTGTAACTCGAGAATGAAACGCGGTTTGCTTCCGAAGAGTCACAATAACGCTTAAGGTTAAATATTTGGTGCGAACGCCTCGAGTTGCGGCAAATAAATGAGATTTGCGTTGTAATTTGTTTTTCTTAAAAGTAGAAATTCATGGCAAACGCAAGAAGGCTTGTCTAGCCATGCCGCAAGCGGCCGACATCTTCACACCACACACGGATAAGCTGCAAACAGACAAGCAGCGGCAGGTGACGGTCGGTACGAGACATTCGACGTTCGGTCTGTGACGACAATAGTCGAACAGAGTAGGAAAAACATTTCAAATACTTACTGGTGGTGTTGGAGGTGGCTTCGGCAATTCATGTACGCTTACATACACATATAGATGCGTGCTTATGACCACGACACTCCGAAATAATGTGGTAGCAACGTCGGAGACATCAAGAGTAGCAAGAAAATGCCAAATGCCGTGCTTCAATTGTACATGCTGATTAACTAGACGTATTAGGGCTAACGTCTTAGTGCTGAACATTTTTGGTGGTCAAAATTTGACTACATACATATACTATATGTATTGGTTTGGCTGGTGATGCATAAAAGAATTTCTTATTACTGGTAGTGGAAGTTACTAGAGTTATTGGCAGTTTGTACCACAGGGCTAGGGTGACTAATCCAGGTTGGTCGTGGATAGGAGTCGCGGCCGAGACAAACCTTAAATGTTCCTCAACATCTACATAAGTATGGTTGTTGGTGTAATCGAAATCTATAATTTGAGGCACATTCCCCAAATTCATGAGCATGCATATATATATATATATATATACACGCGTTGAGGTGGCAATACAATATATATATATTGGTATTTTACCTCACATTTGTCTCCTTATTTGCCGTTGCCACCCTCCTACTCATTTTAATGGTGTTCGTTTGCAAGGTTGAATTCCTGTTGAATAAAACGGTTCCACTAAAGCAATGAGGTTGAGCCACTTGAGTTTCATGACACTGCTTATTAAGTTGTGACAATTAGAAAACTATTCGACGCGAGCAACTGAGCTGTCTAAAGCCAAAACTCGAGCCTTATTCGATCTACCCATCCATTTCCTCGACAAGAGCTGGAAGGAAGCAGCGAACAACACTTCCTGTTACTCCTTCACATTCCTTAGAAGCAAAGAAGCACATGCGTAAGTACGAGTGCATATCTGAGCAATAAACATTCATGACTCAGTTGGAAAATCCGATCATCGGTTAATGGTCCTCGCATATGCGCTCATAAATACATGCAAGCGGAATGAAGTCTCAATTATTCTGTGTAATTATTATGTGTCATTCCACGTGTGCAGCGGAGCGCCAAGTCATCTTCTAAATAAGTATGCACATATGCATCTCTACAAACATACACCCATTGTGGAAGTGGGGTGTGCGGCGTGTCGTCGCCAACGTTGAGGTGGCAAAACTGCAACTGCTAATGCCAAAAGTTGTCTATAGTTTTTATGTAGATTGTGTGCACATATGTATATTAGCTCGCAAGTAGGCTTTTCTCGATTCGAGTGTCTTTTACGTCTTTTACATTGGTGTTTCGACGCCTATGCGGTCTCCATTCGCTGTGAGCTGCGCCACTCGTGCTGACAGCTTTTGCGGCTTCAACTACTGAAGTTATCAGGCATCAGATTTCATGCTGCAACGCTTGGACTGCTGCGTTAAAAAATGGAAACCTGCACTTGATGAGTTCGTATTTCTATTTTTGTTTGCCATCTTCTCCTTTGCTTTGATGTAACAAGTGCAATTGCACACTTGTACAAACATGGAGACTGGGATATTGTACGTAACTAGTTCAGTCCAGCGAATATTCAGCAGTGAGTTTTGTTTGCAAATTGTATGGCAAGCTAACGTTTACTAATTTCCGTTGTTCGTAAATGATTGTATGTATATTTGTGACCTTAGCGACACTTCTAGGCATCCAAGGCAAATTAATTAAGGTTACGAGTATGACAATTCATCAGTACCCGGCCGTTATGTTTGCTTAATAAGATATATCTACAGTGTATCTGTATGCGTAATGTTAAGTTCGACGAGTATGGTCAAGCTGTAAAACTCGCCGTTGCTGCTGGACGGTCAGGTTGGGAAAGAAGGTACTTAAGGATCTGCTTGACCAAGAAGTGATGAAGCAAAGTTCTGGTTTCATTGAAATAGTCACATAATTAATTACATCAATTTAAAGTTTCATGAGCAGAAATTCTATTCCATTTTATTTTGCCTGGAATAAACCAAAATGTTCGAAATACTATTGAAATGATATAACTGTGCCTTATTTCACCAAATGAGGTTAAATTAAAATAACTGGCACTTCCTTCGCATTTCCCCATCTTTGTCTGCTTATCTGAACGTAAGTGCATGATCCTAATGAACCGTAACGGATCGTGTCTAGGTGGAATAGCTTCAACACGATTTCAACATTTCCAAGCCGTTAAACCAGAATATTTGCACTGTACATTAGTGATATTACTGTTACAATTCGCAAATCATTTGTTAATCTGCAGTGAGCAGACGCTCTTACTCGTACTAGCAAGATTACAGCATTCCTAACGATCGACTCAGAAAGCTGCAGCGCAATTACATAATGTTAATAATAATTAAATTAATCAAAAACTTGTACGGTGGCGTAGACTTCATTTTAAGCGAATTTGCAATTATACATGAGAAGAATTAGAGAATGCAACAGAAAATCTACCTGCTGGACACCGGAGCTGCTACCGCGGCATATAAATGGGGGTGTTTAAATTGGGATGGACCGATGTTTTCAACCTGTGGATTTGTGGATGGCATTGTTCGGTCAACCTTAGTTGTTGCAAGGACCCCATATATTCCAACAAATTACCCGATTAGACAAATATCTAACGAAGCGGTTTTTTAAATGCAGCGTCTGGTAATCGTCTAAGTTCATTTAATTCCAAACCGAGTTGCCCTGATTGGAAACTCCTCTATATAGATATACTAATTGAAACAAGAAAACATTTGGACGCGTGGCTTTGTGTGTGTGTGTGTGTGTGCATGCTTGTAGATAACCCACAGTTGCCGGTTTTCGGTTCACTCACCGCTGTAAGTCCATTGTTTTCGTCGCTGCTGGAGTTCGTGTCACTCTTGCAAACACAAATTTGCGTTATTAGGAGCAAATCTAAATAAGATAAGCATTGTCTGCTGTAATAATTGCGGATTCTCTGCTAATTGAAAGCAATTCAAAAGATATGCCTTTGCAAACACATACATACATACGAATTCACTATTTTATAGCTGTAAAGCAAACAAAACAAAGGAGCAAACTTAGCTTGTGTTGGGTAACTGAGGCTTTAACTGATTAAGAATGCCGCCAAATCTGCTGCATACAACGCTGCATTACAACAGCGTGTGGCAAGAAGTTGATTTTGTGAATCCAACCACGGCGCAGACACAGCAGTTCAATCACCCTCTATCGGCTTTTCATGTGATATCTGCAGTTAACAACAATAAATCATACATATATACAGTAGTTATATAATTTATATAAACTACACCTTCACATGTTAGAAGATGAGAATTATGCATTTAGATATCGAAATAAGCTCGCGCCAATTTGTTATTGACTTATATGGGATGATTTCAATCACAGGTTGAATGAAGTAGGACTTTCAGTTCAAAACTGCATTGAAGTAATGTATATGTAGTTGCAATGTGACTCACTATTTCATTTGTTGTAAGGAACTGAATCCTTATACTCCATTTTCTAACAGATCATAACATATTACATCTTCCGGTCGCGATATACATACATAGTAGCCGAAAAAAAATCGTGGTTGAGAGTTAGTAAGAATGGGGAAGTTTGATTTTCAACTTAAAAATTTGTGTCTACTAATGACTGCGAGTCACAAATATGCCAATTTTTTTGTGAACTGCTTTATGGACACTGAATACAGTGGGCTAGTGACCAAATCGGAAGGTTTTCAAAGGAAGGAAAGGTGGAAGCGTAATTTTAATTATTTGCTGAGATATATACATATCATATATCATAAGAGGTTTTAAAAATAGGTTTGGATTCTTGCATGATCGTTTCAATAGATTTCACCATTTGGTGAAACACTTGTGCAAAGCATTATCCCTCATTACAATAACAATACATTCTTGTACCAACATATTCATATGAGAACTTACCTGTAAAAAGTGCCCGTGCTGCGAGTATTCGTGTGGAATATACTCTACATTGGAAAGAGAGTACTCCAAAACAATCAAAAATCAAATAAAATGTGTGAAACAATTAGCACCTTGATGCCAAATGACACGAACATATATTTCAGTTTTACATAACGTCGAAGTGTACAGTAAATTCCTTTTTTCATAAACATTTATGTCTTTTATATTATGTAGAAATCACTTTTTGTTGTTGATATCGGTCCAGTCGGACATTACAGGGGAGTATTTTAGGGAGTACTCCTAAGAGCTGCTGTGTTATAGTGTTCACTAATTCTTACCCTCATTTATAAGTAAAATTGCCGGTGTTATGCAATTATTGATAAATCAATCGGTACTGCATTGAATATGCGAGGTCTGCGTCATGGGCTATCGCAGTTTGTATACACTTTAACAAAAAAAAAAAAAAAAACTGAAACAGATTTGTACAAACAAATCCAGCAACGTTTTATGTATGGATATATATACAAATCTCTACATATGTACATACATATATAGGTAGATATTTATTATTTTAATTGTATATTGTTGAAACGACATACATAATTGCCAAGTCGAGTAAAAGAAGTCAAATTAAGTTATTCTGGGGCATAATTCGACATAATCAGCCATGTCTGATGGCGTGACCCCATTCACTTATATGGTATGTAAACATATCGTAGAAAGTGAAATTCAGTAAATAATTACTGGAATGGTAGTTACATACCGACAGTTACGCAAATCGAGCTACATACATTGACAATGGTGCAGAGCAACGGTAGAAAAAGTAGCTCAATGAAGTAGGCGTTAAGTGGTTAAGTGGCCATCACCTACTGTAGAAATGAGAGCGAGAAAGGAGTTTCTTTCAAAAAAAAAGTCTGATTTCTTTGAAT